TGAGGAAGAGGAGGAACAGCTGGGTCCAGTGCCTGATGTGTGGATGCACAGAAGGCAGAGGAGAGGAGAGCAGTGGAAATCTATGGTCCGGTCCTTGGGATGGAAGAGCCACCGCTGCTAGCAAAGCCCCACCTTAGCCCTGGGGATAAAAGCCAGGGGGCAGAGATGAATAGATGTGGCAAACAACTATTCACCTTCCAGCCGGACAGACTTGTTAGCCTAGAAACGTTTTTGCCGGGGCTGCCAGCTCTCCTAACAAAGCAATCTTTTGAATTCACTTCATGGGGTTTGTTGCGTTTGGGGGGGGGCTGGCTCAGAACGGCCTTCTTCCATGGTTCTTCCAACTCACCTGGATTCTTTTTCTTGCAGGTCTGAATGCAGCAACTGTGAGGTTGGAGACCAGTGTGGTGTCATCATGCACGGGAGTGCTGTCACTTTTTGTGAGCCATACGGGCCAAGAGAACTAGTAAGTCTTGGCCGATCTGACTTGGTTTATGAGGTTTCTCTCTTTGAATATCCCACGCGTAAAAAGCTCGTCCCTCTTACATTCCTCTTTACGCCAACAGTTTCATAGATCTGCTTCCTTTCCTTGGTTCTGAACACATTTGCCTTTTCCTCCCCCCAAATGGTAAAAATTGCCTTTTCCACTTTGCGATAGGAAAGTTTTTCCTTTATATCCTACCGCCTTCTACCTTCTTTGTAAATTTCTTTTAAACACCAAAGAGTCTTCCAAGGGAAAATACAGGCAGTCCTCGACTTACGACCACAATTGAGCCCAGCATTCCTGTCGCTAAGTGAGAAATCTGTTGAGTGAGTTTTGCCCCGTTTTACCACCTTTCTTGCCAGAGTTGTTAAGTGAATCAGTGCCGTTTGTTAAGTTTGATTTATTGATTGATATTTTATTTTTGATTTGGCATTTCTGCGCCTCCCATCTCCCTCAGAGAGGGAGGTTTAAAGAAAGTTTGCTCATTTAACGTTTTCTGAAACCATAATATGGTATTTTTCAACCATGGCAACTTTAAGATGCTTGGACTTCAACTCCCAGAATTCCCCTGCCAGCTATGGATTCTGGGAGTTGAAGTCCACGGATCTTAAAACTGACAAAGTCAAGAAACACTGCAGTGGATTGTACATTGCTAAATTTCTCGATTACATCATCCTGTTTAATGAATGTGTAACTGGTACTGAGCCTCATAATCACAGGCTCCTCCCAGATTTTAGAAGACTACATAAGTACAGGTAGTCCTTGACTTACAGAAGTTCATTTAGTGGCCATTCGAAGCTGCAATGGCACCGAAAAAAGTGACCTATGACTCTTTCTCACACTTATAATCATTGCAGTATCCATCCCTGGGGTCATGTGATTACCTTTTGCAACCTCCTGATCAGTGGTGGGATTCAAACATTTTTACTAGCAGTTCTGTGGGCATGGCTTGGTGGGCGTGGTGTGGCTTGGTGGGCATGACTTAGTGAGCATGGCAGGGGAAGGTTACTGCAAAATCCCACTCCGTCCCCATCCCACTAACCTGCTTCCCAGCTCCATTCTCCTGTGCAGGGTAACCAAAGAAGACCCAGACAATCAGCTGGGACTCAATGGGAGGCAGAGAAGAGATGGGGGCAGGGCCAGTCAGAGGCGGGATTTGCTGGTTCTCCGAACTACTCAAAATTTCCACTACCGGTTCTCCAGAACTGGTCAGAACCTGCTGAAGACCACCTCTGCTCCTGATAAGTCATTGTGGAAACCAGATTCACTTAACAAAGAGTGATTCACTCAGCAACTCTGGCAAGAAAGATCATAAAATGGGGGCAAAACTCACTTAATAACTGTCTCATTTAGCAACAGAAATTTTGGGCTAAATTGTGGTCATGATTCAAGAACTACCTGAACAAGCCAACATTTCACTGAGTTCCCTCAGCATATGGAACAGGCTTTGAGTTAAACCAGGGAAGGGGAACTTTACTGAATATACAAGATTAAGGAACAGTCGTAAAAATACTGGATTTTCCCATCCAAGGTTATTGCAAAACTGAAAATACATTAGTCCAGGCAGTTTTAGTGGCTTCGCTTGACAACTATTTTTAATTCATGGCACTCGGCTGGGAGGGAAGGATCATCGTGCAGTGATTTGCATTCAATATTTAATGTCCTGCTTCTTCTAAATTAAAAGAGCTCAGAAAATGTTGCACCCTAGTTGAGATAGACAATAATTCTTAAACAGGGTCCGTGGCAATGCCAGGATTTGCCTCCTGGCAAAATTTTTGAAGAGTGAAATTATACTGACTCATTTCCTTGCTCGTGTTCTCAATGATCCATGGTTAAATAGTCTCTCCGTAACGTTGGAGAGACCACAAGTTAGCAAATAGTAGCAGAATTTATGTTACATGATGTAATGAACCACATTCCAGATCTTTTAAAGAAAGGTATCAAACACAGCAAGTTCTCTCTGCTTCGGTTAGTTTCATTTTATACGACATTTTAACCTTGTATGGCACCTTTTTTTCCTGCATCGCAATTCCTAAATAAACTCTTCTCTCCTTCAAGTTTTTTTTTAATTAAACCTGTTAGCTTAAATCTGCCTTAATGTCACTTCAGATTTATTAAGGTAAAGGTAAAGGTTCCCCTCACATATACGTGCTAGTCGTTTCCGGCTCTAGGGGGTGGTGCTCATCTCCGTTACTAAGCCAAAGAGCCAGCGCTGTCCGAAGACGTCTCCGTGGTCATGTGGCCGGCATGACTAAATGCCGATGGTGCACGGAATGCTGTTCCCTTCCCACCAAAGGGGTCCCTATTTTTCTACTTGCATTTCTTTACATGCTTTCAAACTGCTAGGTTGGCAGAAGCTGGGACAAGTAACGGGAGCTCACTCGGTTACGCAGCGCTAGGGATTCGAACCGCCAAACTGCCGACCTTTCTGATCGACAAGCTCAACCTCTTAAGCCACTGAGCCACACCTGAAAGTCCAGTTAAACTGGTTTATTGCTAAACACCTATACACAGGAGTCTTTTCAAGTAACAGTCAGCAATTGCTTGGGATTTGATAAATCTCAAAGGAATTCAAGGGATGTTGGACTTAGTTCATTTGTGACTATATAAGGATTCTAGGCTGATCCCTCTTTTGACTCCACCATCAGATTTTGTCACTTCTACAATGAGGCAGCTTAAACTGTTTTTTTTGGGGGGGCGGGGTCCTTTGAGTCAATATTGACTCCTGGTAATATCCTGCTTCCTAGGGTTGAGAGTGACTGGCTCAGATCACTCAGCTGACTTTATGCCTAAGAAGAGACTAGAATTCACAGTTTCCTGGTTGGGCATGATGTTGAATGTTTCATCAGCAATGTCTCATTGTATGTTCATGATGCAGTCAGGATTCAGATCAGCCGGGATTCTGTTGGCCATAAGATATTATGGGCAAGCCCTTCTTCTCTGGTCGCTGGTCATCACTCTCCATGGTCATTTGGGCATCCTCTCATTTCTGAAGGGTCTTTCTTCCATGGGTTTATTAAATGCATAGGGATGTGCATTTTTAAACACACATCTAACATAACTATGTTGTGCTGCACAAAACAATAATCTCTCAATTGCCGATGCAGAAGTAGCTGAACTCCAACTCCAGACCTTCAACGAGATGTCCTGCTGTCTGAGATCATGATTTCTAATTCTCCCCCAGCTACGATCAAAGAGAACACTGTTGGGAGTTGGGATAAGAGAAAGATGGAGATAGTGTTCACATGGAATTGAATTGTTTGGAGTAGGAAATCTCATTGAAGCAGGGATGAGTTGGACTTCCAACTATTTTCTACATCCGCAGTTGAGAGCTTCTTGCTTATTGGGAGTTCCGAAAAGGGAAAGATGGAGACAACGATCACCTTCTAAAAGTAATGGTTACTTGCATGGATTCATTCAGTGGTGGGATTCAACCAGTGTAACAACCGGTTCACTGAGCGTGCGCTTCTTGCGTGCACGGTGCATTTGAAAACATCTCAAAAACTTACCTTCTACTGCAGCCCTGGTGAGTAAATTAGCTGAGGCACGGCAGAGCCTATCAGCTGGGTTTCAAACAAAAGAAATAAAGGACAGAACAGCGCAGGGGCAGGTGGGCGGGGCCAACTGATTGCTGGAACTACCAGTTCATCCAAATCGGTCTGTACCAGCTGTATCCCATCCCTGGATTCATTCCTTCATTCCTTTCTTTTAGCCATGTGAGGGTGAGGTTCTTCTGGTGGGCACCTGATTTGTGTCAGGTATGCAAACTTTGGTGGGAGTGAGAATTAAACAAGATTTGTAGTTTAGGAGAGATTAAACAAGATTTGTCGTTTAGGAGAGGTGGATGAGTAAGCAGGAAGACTGGGCACTTCCTGCTTTCCATCCTTGGAAGACCTCCAAAATATATCTCATCCTCGTCCTCTCACTCCAACACCAAAAGACATAAGACACCATACTTTAGTGAAGGGGAGAAGAACTTCATGAATATAAGGGAGGAATAAGTGTCTAAGGGCCCTAGAGATTGATTTTCTCCAAGCTGCTCAGGGACAGTCGGAGAATTTCTAATCACTTGCTTCTGGCTATAAATTCACTTTCAGGCTGAGTTCCAGGCAGGGCTTTGGAGCGATAAAGAAGTCAATAAGGAATAAGTTATAAATGTCTGAAACTGGAGTTCCTATTCTTTTATAGTTGTATAGATATCAGGGCTACCAACCGTGGCCAACTTTAAGACTTGTGGACTTCTATTCCCAGAATTCCCATGCTGGCTGAGGAATTCTGTCTATAGGATCACAAAGCAACATATGAGTTGATACAGCAAATGAAGATCACAGTTAGATCAGCAATAACTTGGTTAGAGAGAATGCATACACATATTACACTTACTGTCTTCATTAGTAATTAAAGTTATTTCTATATTTTTAAAACTGGTGTGATAAAACTGTAATTGTCAAAAAGTTGAGGAAAGACACAATGCCAGGCCCAAGCCCAAAGATGACCCAGCAAAAGCCAAACGAGTTCAACTATTTGCTCACAGTTGGTAGACAGAATCTTGCCAGACTAAAGCTATGCTCTCCTAATCTACTAAATACTGTATACCCTGAGAGATTCTAGGATATGACTGCCTTGAATTGCTTTGAAGGTTTAACAACAGGATACTGGACTGAAGGATAAAGATTTCAGTTTTATGTTGAGTAGAGGTTTAGCAACAAATTAATATGGTGGATCAATTCAACAATTCTCCCCCCACTTTTTTTTATAGATTACCAATGGCCTTAACACAACGACAGCTTCTGTGCTCCAATTTTCAATAGGTAAGTTTTTATGATGGCTTTAATGAAAAGGCATGAGAATTGCAACTCAAGTTTATTTAAAAGTGTTATTGTGCTTTTGTATTTGTATCTTATCAATTCACTTAATGCTGTAATGTGTCTACTTTTACCTTCCTTTGGACAGTTATCTTTTAAACACTCCTTAGGTATTAATTTTTTTATATGCACTGCATCATATTAATAATTTTTTTAGAAGAAGAAAAAGGCTGACAAAAGTGTTTGTATTTAAAGTATTGAACAACAATGGTACTTCATAT